ATATATATATATATATATATATATATATATATATATATATTTGGATATTAGGTTACAAGTAGATTTATGATTTCTATATAAAAAAAATACGGATGTTATGAATCGATGAATATGTATTTATTTCAGATATAATAGAATTAATAGTTACGTATTGTTCCCCTTTTTTTTATAAGGATGTTAAATTTGCTTTATATAAACTATTATTTCGTTTATATGTAATAACTAGATAAAATACAAAATTTGATCGTTGAGAATCTCCGTTGACTCATTCGTTGACGCCGTCGCCTTCGAGTTTTCCTTCTTCGCATCCGAATTTAAAGATCGTTTATTTTTCTATGTATTTGATTGCCATAATTTCCCTTCTACAATCTAAATCTCTTCGAATTCAAATTTGAATATCAACTCTTTTGTACCACCGAAATTACCGGAAATCGTTTTTTTTAATAATGCTATCGGAGGCTGCAATAAACCGTATAAATTATTTTCCCGTTTGAATGGAAATAATTCATACAAAAATATATATTTACAGTGCTACATTGTTGCATATAGAGGTGGACACATGTCGGATATACAAAAATTTGAGGGTATCCGAACCCAAATCTAAACATCTCGCATTATTGATTTTATTATCCAAATTCGTACCCGTAAAATCGGATAACCAACTTTAAAAACCCGTGAGATAATTATCAGATATCCACGAGTATCCGAACCCGAATATCTTTACTTATGCATATTCAAAATCAATTTAAATCATATTTATATTCAAAATAAACTCAATTTTTTTAAATACATCAGAAATATATCCAATAATATCTATGTAATCATTACCATCAAATAACATAACATAAAATCTAATATAAATCTTAAAATTTAAAAGATAATTTTGTATTATCCGGATATCTATGGATACCCGTGAAAAAATATCAATGATCCGAACCCGAATTTAAAAATTCGGACATTTCAATATCATTATCCGATTTCGTATATTATTATCTCGGATATTCGAAATTGTATATCCGAAATTTCGAATATCCGAATTATGTAGGATGGGATAATCGAAATTCGAATTTTTTTGGCCACCCTAATTGTATATTTTAGGATATAGTATTATTGGGCCGTTTATGGACCGACAAAGCCCAATATCAAACCCTAAAATTCTCACATCTTAGGGTTTCTCTTTCAGGTCTTTCTGTTTTGTCTCCTCGGGTTCTCTCTCCCATCTCCACCACTCCAAGCATCTCCCCCTTTTTTTTAATTTCTTTTTTTTTTTCTCCTTCTTCATCTTTCGGTGACATTTGTTTGGTTTTTATGTCTGTGGTGATTGTTTACATGAATCAAAATTTGCAGGAACTTTCGAATAGGGTATTGATCCCGGTGATGAACAGTTTAGTAATCTGAAAAAGGGGAAAAAGGAGCTCCCTCTCTGGAGGTTGAAGGAACCATTTTTTTTTGTAGATAATTGGCGTTCTGAGGGATATTTTCTTGGGAAATTCTTCGCCTACCTATTTCTTTTTTTTTTCTTTTTTTTTTCTGCTAAAAATCTATAGTTTTAATCTTTTAAAGAAAATAATTTTTTAATGAAATCGAACGATATTTGAATATAAAAACTGAACCACACATTATAAATTAAAAAAAATATAAAAAAGTAATCGAATGTTATACGGTGATATATTGAAAAATAGATCAAAGTCTTGAAAGTTTTTTTTTTTTTTATATATGTTGTAAAAATGTATATAACCCATGTGAATCTCTCATTCCGCATGTTTAAAAACGTAGTGTAATAAGTTGGATGCACATGTAACAATTAGTGATTGGTGGTGGGACATGATTCTGTTTTTATGCATTTTCAATGGTATAATATGTGTTGTCTTTTCTAATAATCAAATGCGGTGCCCAGAAGTAGGGGTGTCAATTTGGGACCGAAGTCCGAAGTGGCCCGGTCTAGTTCGAAAATTAGCGGGCTTCGGGTTTAAATATTTCGACCCAAAAAAAATCGGGTTTTCGGGTCGGTCCGAATCGGATTTCGGGTTTGAATCGGGCTGACCCAAAAGCCCGATATTTAAAAAAAAGAAAAAAAATAAATTTTACAAAAGATTTATACGGGCCGGTCCGACCCGACCCGACTCAGCCCGAACCCGTTATATATAGGGCCGGGCTTCGGGTTTAACTACTTAGGCCCGAAAAAAATTGGGTCAGCCCGAGTCCGAGCCCAAAACCTTCGGGCCAAGTGCGGACTCGGGTCGGGCCGACCCGATTAACACCCCTACCCAAAAAACTGGGGTATTAATTGGCTCGACCCGAGTTTACATTCACAGTTTCGTTGTTGGATTCAGACCGACCTTAATTTTTTTTTTCGAATTTATACAATCAAATTCAAAGCCCGACTTTATAGGATTCAGATCATTCGATTGGGTTAGATTAGACCGATCTGTTCAATTCCTTCACTATAATTTTTTTTAATTTTTTTTAATAAAAAAACTAGATTGGATTTTTGGATCTATTTAAAATTCAATTTGAGTTCGATTCAAAAATCTAATTTTATTCAGATAAAATATTTAGGTACAAAATTCGATATTTTTCGAGTGGATTCAGAATCGGATTTCGAATTTAGAGACTAAAATTGACATCCTACAAAAAATGTGTTAAAAAACCGTAATAATCTGAATTCACTCAAAAAATTTACGGAATTAAACTTGAAAATTGAATCCATTTTTCTTTCGGCCGGCCCGATCTGAAAATTCGCATGGACGTGGATCCAGGACCCGATTAATATTTTAACTTTATGTACATACACAGATATATATATATTCACTCACCCCAATCGTGTGTGTATATATATACGTACATAATATATTATGGGTTTATAATTGTGTAAGCAACCACATAATTGTGAGCCGGTTTCTTGTTTTGTAGAAATGACGAAGCTCGGCAGCCTCTTTCAAGAAAAGTTTCAGTTCCATCATCAAGGATAAATCCTTACAGGATGGTCATAGTTCTCCGGCTTGCCATTCTTTGCCTCTTCTTGCACTACCGGATAACGAATCCGGTTCCAAATGCATTTGGTATGTGGCTAGTCTCAGTGATATGCGAGATTTGGTTCGCCATATCCTGGATATTGGATCAATTCCCTAAGTGGCTTCCTGTGAACCGCGAGACATATCTTGATAGGCTGGCCCTAAGGCAAGAATTTTTTCAGTTTTTTCCACATTGTTTGTCATAGATTTCGCTTTTCCATTGTCTTATGTTGTATCATCTATTTTTTTTTGATACATTGGGGAACCCCCGTGACTACTACCCTTACAAACGGAGACGAACTGGCCACCACCCGCGCCTAACAGTCCCCATGGACCTCAGTCCGCCGAACCTGGCCACCAGGCGCGCCTAACGCTCGGGCCGTAGTTGGGCTTAGGCGCCTGCGGGTCAAACCCCAAGCCCACGCGCACGAGCCTGCAACACACGCGTAGGAGGTAAATCAGCCCATTATGATAGGCTGACAGGCGAGCAGGTCAGAGGAAGGGAGACGGCAGGATTCGAACCCCCCCACCTCAAGGAGTTGCCCCCCTGTATCATCTATTTGCTTACATGTATTTGTTTGCTTGTTTTTTGGGTCAATGATTACAACATGTTTTCTCTAACAGGTACGATAGGGAAGGAGAGTATAACAGCATATACGAAACAGAGATTGCAAAGCAACCGAAAAGGAAAGCTTGCATAAGTTCAGACCTGTATATTTGCTAAATTGATTGTATTTCCATTATTGATTCTGTAGGTTAAAGCCTTTACATTGTATATTAACACAAACGCAGAACAATACAAGCAAGCCGTTTTCTTCATGAAACTTGGTCTCTTTGATTCTTGTTATGGTATCAGAGCCGGAACCAATTTTTCTTTCGATCTAAACTCTCTTTATGCATCCTGAAACCGACATCGATCCCTCTTCGAACCCCGAATCGACCGAACCTTCGTCCCCGACTGAAACTCCGACAATGACTCACCCACCGACCACCGCCGACAATGTGGTTATTCAGAGGAGAACTATTTCTCCTTACGATCTTACTCCAAGCGACAATCCGGGTCTTGTGCTTTCTCAACCATTGCTCCGAGGAGACAATTATGATGAATGGGCAGTTAACATCCGACAAGCGCTGAAGTCTCGAAAGAAATTTGGATTTGTGGACGACACAATTCCAAAACCGATTCCGACATCCCCTGATTTTGAAGATTGGGACACGAACAATGCATTGATTACCTCTTGAATCAAGAATACTCTTGAACCTCACCTTCGCTCTGATGTTGTTCATCGCGAATACAGACAAGACCTCTGGGATGACTTGAAATGCAGGTTCGGGAAGACGAACGCCCCTCGTCTTCTGAAACTCCGAAGTGAACTGGCAAATTGCAGACAACAGGGCACGACAGTGGAAGCCTATTTCGGAAAACTTACCAAACTCTGGGACGATTTGGCAAATTTCCGATCTCTGAAACAATGCAAATGCGGCAATTGTACCTGTAACATTGGCGCTGTTCTTGAAAGAGAACGGGATGAAGACAGATTGTATGAGTTTCTTCTTGGTTTGGATGATTTGCGTTTTGCTACTGTCCGATCAAATCTTCTGGCTCGGACTCCTCTTCCTAGTCTTGAGGAAGCGTACAATATTGTTTCTCAAGACGAAGCTGCAAAGAATGTTATTCAAACACAAGAAGAAAATCCCCATGCTGCTGCATTCTCGATCCGAACTGGCCAGAAACTCCGTCCTAAACCGG